TTGTCGAGGCCGAAAAAAAAAAATTCAAATGGCGCTCGTGCTTTCATAGTGACCTAATGCCATGCAAAATAACCTTGTATGTACGCAAAACACAGTTTCCTTGCAACGGCGAAGGGAAAGACGAACAGGGACGAGGTGACAGTCAGCATTCCCATTAGTCTGGCTCCACTTGTTTTGTGTCATGTTACAGTGTAGGTAATAAGTCCAGTCTCCAAGCGAATAGCAAAGGCACATTTGTATGGAACGTTAAACTTCATGTTCAGGGCTCTGGCATGAGTAAAAGTGGGCCTACCTTGCGTTAAAATTAATCATTTCAATTATTATTGTTGCGAAAACTCAACCGAAAGTAAAATAAAGATCATGAAGAAGGTCAAACATGTACATGTACGTTAACAACAGTCACATGCGTGATGGGTGAGGAACAGCGGCTCGTCAAGAGTGGCGAGTTGCATTGGTCGCGTAAAATTAACAAAATCCAGCCCTGATATCGTTTATTTCTTTAGTCAGAGTTAGTTTCCAATGTACATGTACATTACCTATAAACATAACGTGACTGCTGGACTTGCATGGTTGTTTATGATGTTGTTGGACTGTATTAACTGCCGAACTGTCGTCCAGTTTTCAGACACAATGCAATTTTTGGTAATCATGTAGTTTAGGACCCCGTTTCCATGATAAGAGAATAAAAAGACAATTTCATGTTTTGGGACTTAATACCTGCACATTTGGCTATGAAACATGTACATGTACAAGCAGGAAAGTCACTTTGTGTGTTTGGAATCATCTAAACAGTTTAAGATACCATGTTGAATATATCAGTTAGCTTCATTTTGTGAAAAGAGGGCAGGGTTTTGATTTATGAACGGAACTTGTAAAACATAATAAGTGTCCTAATACGCGATTACCAAATTATTGTTCTTTTATACTCAATCTTAATTTTGCAAGTCATAGGCCCCCACAATTAAACATAAATACCTACCCTAGACCCAGGCGTTGTTTATGGGTCTATGCCTACCCGCACCTGACCAACAAGGGAGTCATGATATCCACAGTAAATTTGCATTGACCTTTGAGAAGTGTCCAAAATCTCCTTACCCATCCCCCACAAAAAATATATCAAATAAAAACAAAAACACCCCACCCCAAAAAAGACTAACAAGAGAGAATTAAAATTATGTACATGTACAATAGTACCGGTAAATAGCACCCCTATTTGGAAATGGAAATACATGGTTCTTAACTGTGAGTGCATTTATAAGAATCTTTATCGGATCAAGAATAAACCGATGAAATGGAATTCAACTTTTGCTAAAAAAAGTCAGGGGAAAGTGGCCAGGAAATGCCTCAAGTTGCACCAAAGAGCATCTAGAATCCATTTTTTTTCAGGGCCCTTAAGCAGGCCCCGGACCCCAGGTCCTAAGGGCTTCGCGCTCCGCGCTTACATTTGTTACACCCCCCAGCACCAACCTTACTTTTCAAAGTTGGAGAACACTGCAGATGAGTAGCTGCTGGCTTTAGGACCTTGGTAAATGTTCGGAAAGCACCTGAGAGACCGCAGGATAGGCACACAAACACTTCAAGTTTATAAACCCAAAATGAACTGGCCTTGGTTTGGCTAAACTTGGCAAACTGCACCTTTAGAAATCAATTTTTTTTCACCTCTTGTGAAATGATGGCCTCCTGGGCGAGTATACATGTATACTGGAACATGGAAGTAACAGGCAATTGTAAGAAAGAAATTCAATAACTTTTTACTGCTTATAGAATCCAACTGTCTTTTATTATTTCTTTCCAGAAGGGACGGAAACACTGGAGACTTCCAGCTGATGCACGATTAGACCTACGTTTTTGAGTACCATCGGTGGAAGAGCATTCTGCCGATTTAAGTTTTGTCACTTGCTCCATGGAAGCTGCCAGGTGCTCTGTCTGGCTGGAAATCTGTTCCAAAAGGATCGTTGACTTTGGTCTTTCGAGACATGGCTGCAACGTAGGGGGAGTAACAGTAACCCCTAGAGGCGGATGATTGTTCCTTTCATTCATTCATTCATTCTATTATTTTTTACCACATCTCATTTCATTATAATGTGACAAGGCATAAATACATACATGTAGTTTTGGGTATTATAAAGTTCGAGCTTGTTTTACAAAATATATTTATACACTTTGGGCGCATTATTTTCTAATTAGAGATGGTGGAAGGGGATCCCCAAAAAGCGGAGCTTGTCGAGTAGAGATCCCCTTTAACATGGATTAATACAACATTTAATGAAAAACAAATGAAAACAATTGAACGTATACATTTTAAATTGTAAATAACACACGGAAAAACATAATATTGCTGATCAAAAAAAAGAAATACAGAGTAGTAACCCAGTAAGAAAATTAATCTGAGCTATTAAAATTTGATAGTAAATTCGATTTAAGTTTGGATATAAAATAATGGAAGGCTACGAGTGCCCTGGAGTGATTTATTTAAGGACTTCCAGTACTTAGGGCCTTCATGCCTAATTGTCTTTTTATAAACAGTTGTTCTTGCAAATGAGAAGTGAAATTCTTAGTACTTAGGGCCTTCATGCCTAATTGTCTTTTTATAAACAGTTGTTCTTGCAAATGAGAAGTGAAATTCTCTATGTTGTCGGGTAAAATGGTGATGTATAGTTTCGTTTCTGCAGAACATTTGTGCAATGGGATTTGGAAGTAAATTATTGTTCAAACGATGCATGAAGGCTCCAAGCTGAAGTGAATAAATGTCATTGACCTTGAGTGTTTTATGTTTACAGAAAAGAGGATTTGAATGTTCAAGTCTGTCGACAGAATTAATAACTCTCAATGCCCGTTTTTGTAGGTTAAGAATTCTATTCACATAACTAGCTGCACAATTCCCCCATGCTAGGATACCATAGTTCAAATAAGGCAAAATCAATGTATTATACAGCATAAACAGTACTTCCTGTGGGAAAAAGGCTTTGAGCTTACTAATGACACCTATATTTCTAGAGATAATACCGGTAGAACAAATGTTGTTAACTTGAATTTTCCAAGAGAGAGTAGGATCAATATATAATCCCAAAAATTTTACACAATCAGAATAGGGCAATTTTATGTTATCGATATAAATACAGTCGGCTCCCGTTATAGCGAAAACGGCTAGAACGAAATTCCGGTTATTACAAACAAATGTCTTCGGTCCCGACAAAATTGTGCACATGTCTATGGGGAAAATTTCGCTTAAGACGAAAACGGACAGTACGAAATTCCTGTTACAGCGAAAGGTTTTGGCAACCCGGTTGCGTAAAAATGCATTGTTAGCAACCCATTTATAACGAAAGGTAATCCTGAATCACTTAGAATCATTAGGATGCGACATATATCTATGGTATAGCTTGTTTTTGTGATAGATTGATTTGCATAAACTAACAGTAACCCACAGGGATTTAGGAGTTGATTTTCGTGATGCAGGCTTACTTTTTGTCATGGGAATATTTTTATCAATAAGTAAATTCAAAGTATCCATAAAATTGTGAAAAGCAATGTTTGCATCGGAGGCAGAGGCGACATTTGTCCAGTCACAGGAATTCAAGTTACTATTAAGACTAGCTATGTTTTCTTGTGTGTGTTTTCGAGTACAATTTGGCCTGGGATTGGAACGATTAACTGACAAAGGAAATGATGTGAATATTGGGAAATGGTCCGAGATATCCGTAACTAAAATACCAGCATCTGGAAATGGTAATATGTTGGAGAAAATGTTATCTATAAGAGTAGCTGATGATTGGGTAACTCTTGTGGGTTTATTAATAAGTGGTACATAATTTGATGAGTAAATAGTATCTAAAAATTCCTGTGACTTGTTATTGTTATCAACATTCATTAAATTTAAGTTAAAATCACCACCTATCAGACAAAGTTTATTTTCATTTGTAATAAGCTCAAGGATATTTTGCCAGCTATTGATGAATTGATTGAAATCAGCAATAGGCGGTTTGTAAACCATACCAACAATCAGATTCTTACATTGACAAGGGGTGATGATTTCAACAAAGATACATTCCAACGAGTCGTTACCCAGATCATTTAAATCAGACCTCCGAATATATTGAAGACTCGATAATAAGTACATTGCTACACCTCCTCCCTTTTTTCCCTCCCCATTTCTTGTCCCCAGAATGTATCCAGGCATATTCAAATTAAGATTACAGTTGGTATTCAGCCAGGTTTCACTTAGTCCAATAACAGATAAGTTGCTATTTAATGAGTGCAAACATGTTTTCATATTATCAATATTTTTGTTCAGACTTCTAATGTTGAAATGTAAGAGGGAAAAATAATTAGGAGAATCATGGTTGAAAAAATCAACAAACTTTTCATGAGAGTAATAATCAGTTTTGTGTAGTCGACATGAGGTAACATCGGGATATCATATTCATACTTGGACTATTCAATACCCTGGCTAACAAAAGTGGGCCACAGAGGGAAACATTTGATCTGGTGAAAGGTGTTTAATTTACTTTTAAATTATGAGAATGGACCACCCTCTATCAGAAAATAGCAAAGGGAAGGAAATCTGCCTGAGAGATTTTCTTCCATGCAGTGCTTTCTGTAGAGGGACGCCTGAGGAATTAACGTTGGTTACGGTGTCCACTTTGCAGTCAACCACGCAACAATAAAAGTCGAAGGAAAACAATGTGGAGTTATATTATTGTGGTTAAGCTTTCCCTCCTTTCTGAAAGTCACCTTGAAAAAAAAAAGTTAATTATTACTATTTTACAATATATTAATAAGGTGGACACCGTAACTAACGTTAACAAGAGTACCTTTTCATACACGACAATTTTAAATGCTTGGCAGTTTGACTACTTAAGGAAAACAGCTGGTTGTGAAGTTGGCAAGTACTTCAAAGTGGACATTATCATTGACAACCAAAGAATAGATACCCTTAGTTTCAAAGATCTTTGTCTTGTAGTTAACGTTAGTTACAAAGATGACACGGACACCAACAATTTCAAATCAAACATTTCGTGTGACAAGTTTATTATTACATGTACTTGCTTTACTGGAGCCTTCACCTTCAGAAAATTGCCTATGTTACTATGTGCAGTTGTTAGTATTTTCATTTCTAGGGAGCATCTCCATGTATCTACATATTGATAAGCCACTTCATCCTTCTTTGAGCATGCAACAAGGTTGCACATGTACTTCACAGAAGTTGAAATCTTTGACATCAGAAGTTGAAATCTTTGACATCATGAAATTAATTACATAAATGTAACTTTAATATTTAAATGTGAATCATTTCCAACATTATATTGATGCTGAGCAACGAGTGAATTGAGTCAATGAGTTGTTTTTTTTCATTCTTATCTCGTTTCTTAAATTACGTATTTTATTGTGGAGACTTTAAACTGACGATCCCACTGAAGAACATGGCACATTTCATTAAATGAATTTCATTTAATTTATTTAGTTCATGCCACCATGGTGACTTACTTTTGCTGAAAACCTGATAAACTTTTGACTACAGACCTTTGACAAACCTCTGATGACATACTTTGACAATACAACCTTTGACACTAAAAATTTACAAATACTTACTGGCATAAACAGTGTATAGTGCATTAATTTTACCTACTTCTTTGCTGTTCAAGAGAAAGTAACGCAAAGATGGATCTGGAATGAGTGAGCTTGGATTAATAACACATAGAATGAATTTCCTGTTAACAGTTAGATCTTTTTCCCAAACAAAACTTTGCTTATTTTTATTTGGACGATCCATGCAGTATATACATGTAACTGCCAGTTCATCACTAATGATGTGCTTGATGGCACCTGGATACCATGCCTGCTCAAATGCGACTATAACTATATCCCCTGCGGTGAGCTGGCGATTGACAGGTTCTTGTTGGGTCCTGAAATTAAAGAAATGACAACAGGCATGGTTGAAATTGAATAATCCTTGACTTAATTACTACTAAAGCTTCTTTCACAAGGACATGTGAATCATATAGACATAAGCCTGGATTAAATGATGTTCTGCCGAAGTCTCTTTCTCTAGAAAACAAAATTTCCATTTGTTTATGTGTGCGCTTCAGTATGGTAGGAACCTGCGACAGCGGACTCCGTGTCCCACAGAAAAGCACTCGTAAACAAACCTTGGTGTCATCAGTACAGGGGTCTATTGCATTACCTGCTGGCATTTTCAGGAAGGTCCACATCATCGGATCCAACCACTATCTTTTTCTCCGTTCTGGCTTCTGAAATAAGATAAAAGAAAAAGAAAATTTAAATAGAACTTTTTATGGAATATAATCGGAAATGGCTTGATTTGTAGAAGAGCCCGGGGCCACATCAGCATGGGTTAAATAAATGTGCTGCCTAAGTTTTCCTACTAGGAATCAACATTTCCACAGATTGCATTACCTGCTGGGGTTGTTAGGAAGGGCCACATCATCCGATTCAGTCATGTCCTTTGTCGCGTTCTGACTGCTGAAACTGAAAGGAATAAAATACAAGCAAGAATATTTGGAATGTACTTGTCGGTGATATGTTCTTGCTGAAAAGCTTTTGGCTACATACAGGTAAGTATGGGAATAAATAATGTTCTGCCAAAGTATCTTCCACTAGGAAACAAGATTTCCACAGACAATTGCATTACCTGCTGGCATTTTCAGGAAGGTCCACATCATCTGATCCAACCACTGCATCTTTCTTCCTGTTCCGACTTCTGAGTAAGATGAAGGAAAAAAAATCAAGAATGAGCAAGAATATTTGAAATACACTCCGCAGTGACTTGTTCTTGTAGAACCCCTGGGCTATGGGCAACATAAGCCTGGCTTGAAGACAGTGCTGCTAAAGTTTCACCCGCTAGGAATAAGGATTTTACAGACAGTTTACCTGTTAATATTGGCAGCAAGGTCATCTGTTCTGGTCTTCCCTTTCACTCCCTTCAAGTTTGAAATGTTCCATGTGCCAGTTATATCCTCATTGCTGCATTTCCCGATTCTTGTCATGCAGGTGTGGCAAAAGTAGCTTCGCTCCCTGTATGCAACAACATAGGGCTTGTCTGTACCCGTTACACAGTGTAGCCGTTGTGTTCCTTTGAGTGTTTCTACATCTGTATGGTCTGGTCTGTTACGATTAATTTTGCCCTCTTGCACAAATATAAAGCTCCTCTTTTCATGGACATGCTCGCCAGGTATGCTTGGTCGTGTCAAGTTTTCCTTTCCAAAGTTGTACAGGTCAAATGCATTGGCTATCTCGGCCTGTCGTGCAGCTACATTTATATTGGCCTGCTTCTTCAGCACTCCAATCTCACGGTCACATGGACCCTTGCCATGTCTGCTTCCAAAGTAATGTTTTTCGGTTTGAAAACCAAAATAAGAGATGGAAAGTGATACATCGCTGAAGTTAATTTTGCTTTTGTACTGTGATGATGCACCATCTGTGAAGTGAACAAGTTTTTCAACTTTGACGCCTTTTTCCTGAAGCTGCTTAATAGCCGTCTTACTGAAATGCTGCACACCGTGGTTGCAGTGCTTTGTGTCATTGCTAATGAACATCATCGAGTCTGTGACAGTTCTTGTGCAGCCTTCTTCAGTACATCTGTATGATGCTACAACTGGGTGTATTGTTGCCTGAACATTAGACCAGTGAGCCCCCTGGGCCTCATCTTGTGATTTGCACGAATAGTTCTCCCCAAAGTCCATGCAAAACACCACCCAGTTAGGTGGGACGTTCTTGGAAATGATGTCGTATTGTTGCCACTGCCAACTGGCGTTAAACAGGTGCCTGGAGAATGGTACCATTTCCATTTCTAGCTCATCTAGCATAGTTTGGATGGTTGCCGTTTTTCTTTCTTTGACCATTCGCTTTATGGTGCTTCCCTTGTAAGGAAACTCTTTACTTTCCCATCAAGACCAACTGATGTCTTCATGAACTCTCTGTGTAATCTCCTTGAGGCTTGCAATTGACTAGGTGGACTCCGCATTTTTCACACTCTCTGTCTAAGCACTTCTTCTTGTACTCTTGACCATCAACCTTTGGGCATAGTGTTAGTCTGGAAATGTCATATTTGTCTTTGAAGGCACACTGTCCCAGCTTGTGCACTGCCATGTATCTTGTGATGGCCTGAATTTTAAACTCGATATTAGTGCAGCGTTCACAAAGACATTGTGGAAGTTTGTTGTTTACCATCGTCAGAATATGATTGGGTCTTAGCTGCTTAAACTTGGTTTTCCCGATGGATATGTCTGGGTTTTCTCTGTTGAACTTGTCATACGCACTTCGCAACGTTATATCCATAACCTTCCTACTCTTAACACTTCCACCATCTTTCTTTGCACTCCGTGCATCAGGCAGATCTCTTGAGATGTCTCCTCTTCCATAAAACTCAATGACCCTATCGACTACACCTGTTGGGAGCGCATCACTCCTCCTTTTCCTTGTATCCAATTGACGGACATCATCGACCCTAGCAGCACGTTTGGTTAGAGAGTATCCAAATCCAAGATGTTTTCTCAGATGCCGCTTGTATCCATGGCTGTACATGTATTTCCGCTTCACGGACAGGGCCGCTGCTAATACCCGTTTCCTGTGCAAGGTCGACGTGCTCCTTTGTTTGTTGATACCCAACACTGTGTCTTTGATGTTCCCACACGACTCTTTGGCGAACTGCAGAAATCTTCTTGACTTTGGACAAGCATTAATTCCCTTCTCTTTTAGTTGCTGTTTTTTCTTTGGAGTTGCTTTGTGAATCAGTCTTGTCAACACTTCTGCATACTGTCTACTGTTTTTTGGCATTGCTTGCTTGGCACGGTACACAGCCTTGCGAAAACTACCACTAGAGATTGATGGCTGCCGTGCCTCTGATGAGTGTGTTAATGGTGGTGTTCTTTTGATGGAGGATGTCCTTTCCTTCTTTTCGGCATACTTTGCCCTGCGTTTTTCATTGGTCCTCTGTTTTGCCTGTGCTGTTTGCTTTACTCTTTGATTCTGTTTCTGTCTTCTCCATTTGCTTCTCTGTGCTTCCTTTGCAAGACAAGTTTTGGGTGCTGCTGCCTTCTTGGCTTTACTTGCACTTGGCTCTGCTGCATTTCTCTGACGAAACTTTTGGACACGAAATTGGGCTTTTTTCTCCTCTGTTAAATTTGAAAGATACTCTTTGACCCTCAAGTTTTCAGATGCTCGATGCAATTCATAGAGTTTATGGTTCTGTTTGATACGCTGTCAGTACTCTCTCTGGTATTCTGCACGAGACTTCCTTTTTTTTTGGAGGTTCCTCCACCGCTATCTCAAGCTGTTCGTCCAACTTCCTCTTCACTCGAAGATTATAGCGAGGTGCATCAGTCATTTTGTACTCTGTACCTGTTGTATACATTACCAAAGAAACCAAAGTAGAAATTCAAGATGTATTCAACCCATAAAATCCACCAATTAAAAAGTTGCTATTGCCCATTCTATTTTTGTACAGTTTGGATAAAAGGTGTCACTGTCAATTACAAACAAAATTTAAGAAATGAAAAAAACACAGTAAAAAATACAACCAAACAAAAAGAAAGAGGTAAAACACTAATATGAAAAACAAAACAAAAAGTAAACACAAAAAGACATGTCACGGGGGTTCTGACTAATTATGGCGCCATGGCGAGAATGTCTCCTTGCCTTCAAAATACATGTGTGCCAACATCAGCATGTTTGGCCTACAACAGTAGGCCTAGCTTTTTCTTTTGAGAAACTTAAAAAAAAAAAACACTAACAGGGCCCCAAGGGGTTCCTCAAGGGGTTCTTTGCTGATTTTTGTATATTTTACACAATTTTCAAGTGTTTCTTACGTTCGTGACTGCGGACGCTAAATAATTTGTAAAATATCACGGTGTGTAACTAACGTGAAACACTGATGATTACGAAAAATCGGCAAGGCTATTCTTGAAGTTTTTTCATTTTTTTGATGGACTTTAACTTAAAAAAGTGTAAATTATTTGACGTTTTGCAATTTCAAGAGGGACTTCAGATGTTTATTATTTTTTTCTTCCATTCGTTAAAGATGGACACGAATCCAAACAACGGTCCGCTACTAAGCCCACAAATCACCCATTGATTATCCATTAAAATCTTCCCTTTTACAATGCCATCTGAACTCTTCTCACAAAAAAATACAGAAAATAAAATCTATTTAAGTTGATACAAACCTTTTGGCTGCTCTTTCCCTGATATTTCTCTTGATTGTTAGAAGGAAAGCTGTCATCGACGATGAATTTCTCTGTTCGTTACAAAGTGGCGCGAAAGCGGCGGGGGTGGACGCGATGCTTAAAATAGTTGTATATCGGAAAAGAAGTGACCGAGCCTACAACAATTGACCTTTAGGTCATTCACACAGGGTACCATTTCACGTGTATGACCACAGTTCAGACTGCGTTGATCACCAGTTAAAACATGGGTACGTTTTACGTTAGTTATAAAGTGGACACGAAAATTATAGCAATCGATGTGTTGATGTTTTCTTATCCTCAAGGGTAATTGGGATCTTACAGACATTTTACACAATGTTTATTGAGCGTATTTCGAATAAAAGTGGCTTATACAGGTAAGGATGAGGCTTGTAAATGATGATTCTAGCCCTTTTTATCATCGTATGATGTGGTGGACACAATGTGAAACGAACGTTAACGCAGGTTCAGCTGCCATTTTTGGAGCGTGAATTTATTTTATTTTTTTGGGTAAAGGGCCAAAATATTACTTCATTACTTTACTCAAATAATATGACCATTATGATAAAATACGTGTGTTATAGGTAAAGTATTTGAGTTGATGAAATTTTGTTCAAGCAATGTCCCATTTTTGGGCGCCATTTTGGAACTAAACTTTACTCTTCAACGTGAATAAAAATGATAAACTCGCACTCACACTAATTTATTTGACTTTTTTAATCTCTCAAATACATGTACAACTATAATCTCAAGAAAACACTGCTTGAAAATGGTTACATCATCTGAGAAATTAAAGTTCATTTTATGCATCATGAAAGTTAGCCAGTATTGTGACCTTACACATGTATGTCTTCAACCCTTTCAGAACTCAACCTAAAACCCAACAGAATATTTTGTTAGAATCTGTCAGGATGGCGTACGTGGCAGTCTTTTACATTGGGTTGGCAAACCTCCAGAATCAAGTCAGAAATATGTGTTGCAGTTCCCATATGGTGTTGGAATTTGCAGGATACGGTTCCAAGTACATGTAAATCATGCTAGGGAGTGCGAAGACCAAAGACTTGTTTTTCCGGGTGCGGACAGGTCGGTCAAAGCGTTGAACAGCTGTACAAGAGGCATCGCCGAGCATGGTTCATGATTGTGAGATTCCCAGAGTAGATCATCCTGGCACACCAACGACGAACTCATGTCTTTAATTCAGGGGCGGAGGAACCGGAGGCTGCGGGGGTGTTTGCCCCACCCCCAATTTTCCCAAGTGCCCCTTTTGCGGCCATAATTGCCCCTCGAGCATTAAAGTGCCCCCTCGAAATGAAACAAAAATGCCCTTAAGTATCTTACTATTTCTTAGAAGTAACCATTTCCCACTAATGTTAGATATTTTTGATATAAACAAGGATATGAAAACCAAGTCCCAAAACCCATACAATACGCCCCGAAAATGGGCACATAATGCATATTTAGCATATAATCATTGGTTTTGAAGAGCGCCCCCTATGTTTTACGGAGGCCAAGTGTCCGGTGAAAAAAACGTGACGACATTTCAGCACGGGTTTGCAAGTGCCACTTTTTGGTGATCCCCCCCCCCCCCCCCCCCCCCCGTTTCAAACCCGTTCCGCCGCAACTGCTTTAATTAAAGGCCGATTTTACCTGGGTGGTAACTCTGGTGCAGGGGCGGCGGAACCGGGGGCTGGGCCCCCCATTTTCCCAAGTGCCCCTTTTGCGGCCATAAATGTGCCCCCTCGTGCATAAAAGTGCCCCTCGAGAAAAAAAAAGCCCTTAAAGTATCTTACTATTTCTTAGAAGTAACCATTTCCCATAATGGTATAGATAGTTTTGATATTAAACGGGAATATGAAAACCAAGCCCCCAAACCCATACAATATGCCCGAAAATGGGCACATAATGCATAGATAGCGCCCCTATGTGGAAGATCGTACCCCCCCCCCCCCCCCAACTATTTGATTTTACAGAGGCCAAGTGTCCGGTGAAAAGTACGTGTCGACCTTTCAGCACGGATGTGCCCCCCCCCCAAAAAAAAATGCTGAGCAAGTGCCCCTTTTTGGTGATGCCCCCCCAGTTTCAAACCCGTTCCGCCGCCGCTGCTCTGGTGCATGGAAAAATGTTCCTGTGATGTGGGCACAAGGTATGGTTGCAATTCTCTTATGAACAATGAATGCGACAATTAGCTGGTGCGTAACTCCTTCCACCATGACAAAGTCTTGTCAGATACTGCTGACCAAGTTTCTTGTTGTGAGGATTACGGAAGGGTTACTGTCAGGCTGTGTTGTCGATGAGGTTTCATCACCACTGATTCTTTATCTCCATGCGTGACCTCGCCGGTTGGCGTTGAACACAGGTGCCACATGACGATGCACTGTTGTGCACGTCGGCCAAAGAACAATGGGTTAACACAAAGGCTGCTGTTTTGGGTGGAATGCAGTGTGTTGACTGTTCCACATATCCACCATGTTTTGCATCGTTGTTCATGCTGTAGGCATGTGCTGCCCAACCCATGGTGAGTTGTAGGCTTGAGTAGCACAACGGGAGGCATGGATATCATTTCTCGTAGACTGCCGACGTGGAGGAGCCGGTGATACTGGTGTCATACAAAATCCGACTCCTGTGAAAATCAGACTCCTTTACCCTATTATTGGTCACTCCCTCGCACGTGACCAGTCACTCTCCTATTTATGATACTTACGCATGCGCAATACTACCAATGAGTCCATGATTGATGGAGTCGGATATTCACGCTACACCCGCTCTGTTGCCAAAGACTAAGAAACAGGTCATGGTGACCCTTATTCCTGCTTGCTCTCTTTTCTTGGGGGTCCAGAGGTTAGAACCTGCGAGCTCTCTGAAAAGTCAATATTCTGTCTCTGCCTCTGGAAGGGCACCCAAAGCTGGTGGATATTGCTTTTGGATCTCTTGGTAGCTATATTCCAGAAATATCTTCAGTATATTTCACAATATAGTGTATAATAAATCTGAGAGAGGGTGAGGAAAAACATACAAGCAACCCAAACCACAGAAAACAAAGACACACTTGAGTGCAGACAGAGCTGTATACTGTCATGGAACTCATTTCCATTAGAACAATGGTTGGACGATGGTGGAGCAAACACTATTGCAGAAAACATAGCGTGAGTCTTAATGACAATGACAAAATAAAATCTTACCTTCTAAGATTCCACTCACCTGTAACAATAATCTCTCATCTCCTTCTATAGATGTCTTTTTCCAGTCAATGACCTCAGAGAATGGAAGCTCCCATCCATTGCTAAGTATGACAGGAATACAAGCTGCCTGTAAAGATTCCAAGAACCGAAAAGACCCGAGGCGACGTCCTCTTGGCACAAGACAGAAAGTAGAATTGTGCAGCAAAATCTGATAGTCATGCCTGTTAAGAGGAGACATGTAACAACTTCATGTTAAACAAAACTTGAAATTTTCAAGGGGAAAGTCAAAAAAGTGTCCACATTTAAAGTTTGAGTACAATACATGTAAATAAGCCATTCCATGTTTAAACCAATCCTATCCATGATGTACTGTATTATGTGAAATGACTTGAATTTGGGAAATTATATTTGATGGCATATGAATGTTAAAACCTACAGAAAAACACATTAAAATTACATACATTTAGGAGAAATCAAGTTTGCAGATTTAACAACAACTGTCCTTTTTTGAAAATTTGCATACAAAGTTTAAATGAAATTTTCAAATGGTCGTAACCTACATTGTATAATCCTTCTCTAGTGGAAGTCAAAGAATCAGTGGGACATCGCATTGGGTTTAAAAATGACAGGTCAATTTGCAAGCAAGGTCTCCCACATCATGTTTCACGTGAGCCCTAATGCACATATTTCCAATCCACGTACATTTTTAATGTGGCGCTGGACTTCCTGAAAAGGTTGTGGAAAAACTACAAATAGAAACTTGATGAGATTTACACATGATCTTTAACCGATTGTTTCCTTCATTTTTACAATAGTTCAGGGTGGCATCGTAATAAGTTTAAAAATGAGAGGCACTTCCCAGCATTTTCCCGTCCTGCAATTGTTGATGTACTGCAGTTACTGTTTAGCCTAACTGTTTAGCCTACCTTTAGGCTACATGTTGAGCGCAATGTGAGTCTCCTGTGCAAGTTTAAACCGCAGAAGTTTAAACTTGCGCGAGCATTAATTTCCTTGCTTCAAATTGAACAATTGAAGGGATCATAATCATTCTTTTGACGTTAACAACGGGATACCCCAAGGAAATTATGATATATTTACATTTAAGAATATAAATAAAATGCTAATTAGTTTTACAAGGCAAAAAACTTAAAGCTGGACTCCATTATTGAACAACTTCAGTACACTTTCCAAGCAATCGCCGCTAGTGTGCTTATTGATTGCTTGCCCAGTCCCCTCCCCGCCCCCGCCCCCCCCCCAGGCTTCTAGCCAGGCATACAATAGGATATCGGGCCGATACGCTTCGAAAAAATCCGATACGCTTGAAGTTAACCGATATGCTATTGATACGCTTCACATTTTCCGTGACAAAAAAAAAACTACCCAAGGTTTTCTCACTACTTGTGTATACAGGTATAAAATAAGATCTGTTGCTGAAACGACTTATCAATTGTTACCCGAGGCAAATCATTTTTTTAAACGAACAGTAGAAGCACGTCCCACGAAAAGATACCGAGGTTCGCTACCAAGCGCTGGTGGTATACACTGCCGCGCTGGCCGGCCGGCGGGTCGTGTGTGAGCGAACTCTTTCGTTGGAATCCGATGTGATTGCATGCGTGCCCCGGTCATGCATGCAACACGCACGCTGTATGATCGGACCAAACCATTTTTTGGTAATAAAGGGGTGTATTGTCTTGGGAACAATAATTATCAATATTTCCATAGAAGAAAAGAAAACTAGTACTTTTTATAGAGTCTGAAACATTTCTGTATACGACAATCAGTTGTTCTATGTCACAATATATTTTTTTTCTGGAAATGTATTCAAGAAACGACGTAAAACGCAAAACTGGCACTAAATCACCCCTTACGAAATTAATGGATTCGCCCGTGCATCATGCTGGGTTTTTTTAAGAAAGTACGATCGTATATTTGATGTTTTGACGTTACTACTCGTTTTAATCACAACAATTTGATAAGATTTGTTATAAAAAAAGGACTTATTTATTCTTAGGACTAAACAAATCAGCATCTGTTGCCACAAAGCAAGATTTGTAGCGCTCCTGTCAGACGCCACATGGTGGGATGCATACGCTCTCAAGTGCTGCGGGAAAATGTTGTCATTCGCCGGCACAGGCATGACAGGCTGATGCCTGGCCATGCGCTAACTTGCCGGCAGAAATTCCCGGTGTTTATTTCTCATCGTCAAGACGTCAATGTTAATATTTCTCGCCAATGGTGATCATCTTAGTCGCGCTTTAAATTGTGTTTCTTCATGTTTCCACCACTTTTTGCAATTTTCCTGTAAAAGGTACCTTTTATCATTATCAGGCCAAACAAAAAAAATGGTGTGTTTACGGTAACCGACCTGGAATTTTTTCGGCCAAATTGCCGACCTCAAACTTTTTATTGCCATTTTGAAGGTTGATAATTGACAAATTTCAAACATTTCAAGTACTTTTAATTATTTGCCACGAACAAAAAACATTTTCCACACTTGAATCTGACCATGATTTGACACAAACATACCCATGTTAAAACGTGCGAAAATCGCGACGATCTCAAAACTTGAATTCTCAAACTACGAAGTACGATTATTTTTGCACAAACGCATCGGGGTACGTCTGGCTGGCCGACGGACGGCATGGTTCATCCCACGTACAAACGTGCGTACTGCGTATCGGCCCGATACGCTGGAATTGCGGCCGGCCCGATACGCCGACAAAAAAATGCCGATCACATTTTTTAGCCCCTGATACGCACAATATAATGATCATACACGCCATTAAAATGCACAATTTGATCGTTACATACACCATTATTTCATAATCTTGACCAAAATCCTGTTTTTCCGATGCATGTGTGATCAAAATGCACACGATGATGTGTTCTGCCGACCACCAGCAGCACCAAGCTAACATACAGCATGGTACACTGGTTCCCTTCGCCAGTTAACGGAATCAATGCTTTGATGAAGGACCGGAACCAGTGACTACTGCCTCTCTCCGGTCCATACTTCGTATCACACAGCATGATAATGTAGTGGGCCGAAGTTGGATCGTAAAAATATTACCAAACAAACTTCGCTGGAGAAAGAGAATTTCTGCGAATTAATTCACAGAACGTGATCTTTACTTTCTGTGTATGTGTTTTCCATTAAAATGACGAGATTGCAAAGCTCAAACTTGTGTCGAAACATCGTAGCGTGTTTCTGCAGTAGTGCAAGATTTTCGGCCACGTGGGCCGTGAGCACGGCGCGATGTTCGGCCAGCCAGGCGGAATTTTAGTGGTGCCAGCGGCCGTGATGTATGTTAAGCATAAAGTGGAATCACCGACCTCAATATATTTTTAATTAGGTGAGGCAAGTTTTAATCACTTTTGATAGCCAGTCTTGATAACTTTCGTGGCGCAAATGAAAATAGGCGAAATTGGCGAAATAATTTTCCGACCTACTGACGCTATTTTGAAAGGCATGTAATCGGAAGCAAAAGTTGTTTTTTTTCTCCACCTTTCTTAATTTGAAACTTACATGTAAGTTTCAAATACTTCATACTTTTCTAGTTAGGAAGCAATGAAACACAGGTTGTGAAATGTTAATTTTTTAAGTTAACAATTTTGATTTTTTTTTCTTTAATTACAAAAATATTAGTGACCTACAAGATCTCCTCTGAATTTCAAGGACAAATCTTAAGGTAAAGACCCCCAGATTTGCTCTAAAATGCACCAGAGAGCTTCTAAAGTTTAAACATTTTCGGGTTGTTGAATCACAGCAAATCTTCCCCCACATGTTTGAAAAAATCCTGGGAGAAACCCTGGCCAACGATACAAATTAATTTGGATTGAAATGTTTCGATTGAATATCTTCAATGCTTGAATAGTGGTTTTATACAATTTTTTTGCGAAAGAACACGCATGGGCATGCAGAACTGAAATGGAAAAAAAAATTACAAAATAAAATTATTTCCCTACCTACCTACCTGGATATTTTTCAGGCCGTTACCGTCAACACACCATTTTTTTGGTTTGGCCTCAGTAATGAAAACAATGAAAACTTGAGACCTACATGTACATTTTTCTTTATGAAAAAGGATCTTGTTTATAAACAGTTCTTGGGTTTGACTATAATGGCAAAGATTTCATTAAAAGGTAAACTAGGCGTAAGGCCAAAAAAAAAAAGTCTCCGGTTTCTGGTATGCGCGCGCGTCGCCGTAGCCATGCGCATCGGCAAAATGAAAAAGTTTTTTTTTTCAATGAAAGATGATGTCTCAAAACCGCCAAACTCACTGGTTTGACTGGAATCCTGCTGCTGCACAATTTTAACGTGTTTTTAGATCGGGTTATGATCGAGAATAAGCTTTATGTGGCCTCTCTGGACTCCCATATATTTGCACTAAGTTTAGTTGGGCACCATCTGCAGTCATCAGTCGACATTTGAAGCAAAAAAGTCAGGTTAAAAAAAAAAAGCCGCGTCGCCGCACCACTTTTTGGACAAGCTCCATACCAGAAATCGGAGACTTTTTTTATTTGGCTTAATGAGTGCTTTTTTGAAAGACATCTAATGCTGACTACCGTGTTGCATTACTTGTAACTGAAATAATTTTGTTTTAAAATAAAATCCAGGCCCACTTTCTGCAGCATACTTGCTGTTACAGTGTTGGGGTTTTTGCTCTTTTTCCGATCATAAAATATGCTTCCAAATGGCCTTAGATTGCACCACAGAGCATCTAGAATGTCAACATTTTCTGGGGCCCTTGAGCGGGCCCCGAACCCCACGCCGTAAGGGCTTCCGCGCTCGCAAGATCCATTCGTCACATGCCCCTATCCTTTAAATTCATCCTGGCTAGAACCCTGATTCCATCCTCCCCTAACCATACCCACCCTATCACCTACACATCCCAACCCCACCAAAACTCCAATCCCTATCTCCTTCCCCCTCCCCTGACCCGTACCCTCCCCAACCCCAAACACCCACCTACACCTACCCTATCTTCCCCTATCTGTCCTTACCCACCCTACACATCCCCACCCTAACCCTTACTCGAATTCCAATATCCCACCCACCCCATTCCCCCACCCATACATCCCCACCTGACCCCATGCAACCCCAACTCTGATCCCTATATACTGCCCCCTCCCCTTATCCAACCCCTACAACAACCCATCCCTACACATCCCCAACCCAACCCTACTCCAATCCTATATCCCGCCCCTGCCCAACCCCCTCCTAACCCAACCCCTACATCCATGCCCATCCTCTCCCTACCTGTCTCTCCCTACCTGTCCCCACCCCACCCCTACAAATCCCCACCGCACCCAAACCCAGTATTCCAACCCTCTCTCCCGCATCCTACCCTACTCATCCTACTCACCCAAACCCTAACTCCAACCCTATCCCCCAACCCACCCACCCCAAACCTCCCCTACCCCATCCCTACTCCAACCCCATAAACTAAAAGATCAAACCAGAAGCTCATGCACATCCCCAAAATACATAGTGTACATGTTATACTGGTATACACGCACGTACATGTTATACCAGTATACATGTACACGTATGTAACAATTAAAAACTTTAACATTTCCTTGAATTAAAGTTCCTCAATAAAATCATAAAATTTACTGCAATGATATGAACCTAACTGAAGTTATAGAGATCATACATGACAACTGCATTTAATTTTTTCCCCAAGTTAACTAGAACCAAAAACTTCAACATTTTTATCTGAACGCAGACGGACATTCCAGCCAGATGGACTTCCGGGGTACCTCCATTGTTGTCCCATTGTCCCTATTTCTAAAGATTTCGTTGCGGGGTACCCTTTTTTCTAAAGATTTTATTTGTGGGGTACCTCGAACAAAGGACGGGTACCCCACAAGTGGTCCCTGGTCAGAACGGACGGATGGACGCCCGGACAGACGGACGGAAATTGGTATTACATAGGCTCGCATCTGCTTCGCAGCTCGCCAAAAATGGGCCTATAAAATGTTGCCGGCTGATACGTTGCAATTGCATAGTGACACATGCATGACGCACCCCTACGCATCTCACGATGTGTTTGCGTTACATCAAATTCGTACTTGACGCACCCCCTTCGTTGCGATTTGACTGACCAATTTAGAGACATGACGCACATGCCCTGGGGGTCCGAGGGTGCGTCTTACAATTGACAAAGTGCATAAGCCTTATTGCAAATAGCAAAATACACTGCTGCACAAAGCATTATGGGCAGGAGAAGGGGCAAAAAAAAACATGCACCAACACCGTGTTCAAATGCTCACGCAGTTGCTGCCGTGTTCAGCCATGCGGCGTATGCGGTCAATGCTATTTGCGATAAGGCTTATGCACTGGAGTAGACTCTGTGGTTAAGGCCATACAAATGTTAGCATGAAGTTGGTAATCAATGGCATTTTTTCGCACAATGCGAATACGCAGCCACGTGTTGCAGCCGTAGACTGGAAATGCTGTTTTACTATAGTCTGGTTCCCTGACCAAAAGATTGATGGTTGGGGAACTATACTAGTTTTGTTTTGGCCTCCATGTGAACCTTGATCGACGCATGAATTTCCACTTTTGTTGGCAAATTAAGAGACAAATTTCACCAGAAGGTAGTTTTGGTGAAAAATTTGGACGCTTTGGTAAGTGAACCCTCTTGTCGAGTATGAGTCCGAATGCACTCCATGAAACAAATACCATTGATTGCCAACTTTTTGTGCTCACATTTGTGTGGCCTTCAGCACAGAGTCTACTTCAGCGAGTTGCTATAAAATAGGGCTAGACTGCCATGAAAGCCGACTTTCAATGATACTTACTTTTCATACTCGGCATTATCACGATCACATCTCACATCTTTAATTTTCTGCCAGTCTTTTCCATGTCTGCATGTTGTTAACAAAATTATGTCGTAGCCATTGTGAAGATGGTATAGGGCATTTCTTGTGTCAGACCCTATGCCGCTAAGATATCGTTTCCCTTTAAATGCCAGTAAGAACTTCCTTATCACTGGAAAGTTATTTGTTTGGAGATCACCGCGGGGTCCTCCTTTCTGTGGATGAGATTTTCCAAACAATGGCAAAGAAATGTCAATCCTGGACGAAAGCTTTGCTTGGTGAAACTTGCTTTGGCTAAAATTGCCTGCTCTATATCAAAACCAAGATCCTCTGAATACTCGGGCCAAGTGCCTGAATACAGATTGAAAATCAGATGATTCCTGCCTCCATTCCAGTACGGTAGCTTAGTCAATTTCGACTGAGCATCAGTCACATATTCATGGCTAAGTATATCTCTATCAAGCGTGTCTATGGATGGTACAAAAACACAAGCTTCATCTGGGTTTGATGTAAAATACCTAGAATTCCGAATAGATGTCAGGATCTTTGAATAGCTCTCACTTATTTTCCCATGACTGGATAAACGTACACCTTGAAAGTATCGCTACATTTTGCTTGGTCAAAGCATGTGTCCATGCGGCATTTGCGATTCTTGTACAGATTTGTCCTAGATTGACGTCTCTGCTTTGGAGAAGCATGGAGGTCGTATTCATATTCGGAACTGTCTCTTTCAGTCCATGTGACATAGGTGTGTAAGTGATCATACTGTAATTTTATATTCTCATTGAGGTTTTGGCCATGGCCGGGCACACTTCCCTGAAGCCACTGTCGATAAACTAGAAACAATACGACAGAACTGACTAACACAACACTGTATCTTGTTCTGGCTTGCATGACGCCGGCAGGAACGACATGCGTATACCACCATGTACAAATACCGCGATAACAAACTCGATATGCTCGGCGTGCGTTGCAGCTCGCATAGGATGGCTTGGACGACACGGTCTGGCGTTTCTTTAATGGCGAGTCGGGAACAAAACACCCAAATCAGTCAAAAGAAGTGAATTAATGTGAAAAGGGGGAATGTTGTCCATTGTTCACATCCACTTCGAAAACTCCGCACGCAGAGTAATTAGGTGAAGTAGGCCGCTGTCACGTCAGTGCATGGTGATGTGTGGGACCGGTGTCATATGAAAATCGGACTGTATAGAAATTGGACTCTTTTTCCTTTTATTGGTTAAACCCTCTCACGTGACCGGTCCCCTCCTAATTATCTATGCATGAGCGTGCGCAATACCATCAATGAGTCCGTATTTCATAAAACATAAACTTATGCTACACCGGCACCGGCAGCGAATATTTTATTTACACAATAGTACAGGGTACCCATTTTTCAGGCGACTTGAATCACGGTTATAGGATTGTAAGCGCCGCGTAGCGGCGCCCTACAATCCTGTAACCTTTTACCTACGCGCGCGCGCGTGTACTCTCTCCACATGTTTGAAATATAATAATGTATGAATTGCAGGGTTTTGTCGAGCACCGCCGTTGCCTAGTTAATGCTGGCTAATATGGAAGTGTAGATAGGACATGGTTAAAAATAAAACTAATTCGTACGTACGAAATACTAATTCGTACGTACGAAATACTAATTCGTACGTACGAATTACTAATTCGTACGTACGAATTAATAAAGCGCAAGTACGAATTACTCAGTGGCGTAGCCACGGGAGGAGGGGGCGTGGGGGCAGTGGCGTAGCCAGGATTTTTCAGTGGGGGGGGGGGGGGGGGGGGGGGGGGGGGGGGGGGGGGGGGGGGGGGGGGGGGGGGGG